TTAACCGAGATGGATGAGGACCGCACCTTCTCCCTCTCTCTCCCTCCTTCTCTCCATTCCCCAGCCTCCTGCAGACTGACGAATTGCAGGGCAGCGACTTGATTACAAACCGGTCGTCTATGAGTCAACAGGCCGCACAATCGGTGTGGACCCTTGTCCCCCGTGTCTGAGTGCCGTCACCGTAATTCTTCATCCTTCCTTCTTGTGTGTGCCGTTTGCGCGTATGGTGCCGCTCTTTGTTTTGCAATGCTGACACACGCGAGCGAGGAAGGACGCCTTAACTGCTGGCGAACTGTGAGTCCTTCACTCCTCTCCCGTGTCACCATTTCTTCCTTTGGCGCGCTTGATGGCCGCCGGTTGTAACGCTGCCACATGTCTGTGTCGGCTGCTGTGTGTTTTTCACGGCATTGGGACTGCTCTGTGGTGGAGCCTTTTGGTTGCAAGAGCGGTGCCAGTGGTTGTATGTCTTTTTGCTTGGATCCTGCCACTCTGCATGGTGGTTGTGTGGGACTGCGTTGGCGGTGGGAGGGCGATGGTGTAACCGGCGTTGTGGCGTCTGTGCTTTTTTGTGTCGGTGGCTGTGCATTGGTGGGGACTGTGTATGGCCGGATGCCTCAGCGTGCCACTGTGTTTGGTTACTTTTGTTGCTTCCTTTTCCTTTTTTGAGCAAGCAGATAGAGATACTTTTGTTTGACCAGCACAACAATCGTTTCAAGGTGTTAGGGATTAATTGCTGTAGGATTAGCAGCAGTGGTGGGATAACGACCTATCGGAATCGTGTATCTGGGTTTGCCATCTGTAGGAAGGGATTTATTAGAAAGGTGCTACGGTCGACGGGGCGAGTGCGACGCAACTCGAGAGCCCTGCTGGTACGTGTTTGGGTTTGTGGATGCAGTCTGCGGTGGGTGCGTGTCCGCGCAGCCGTCACCGTGTGCGGTGCAGGGCCATTGCGGCTGTGCGTGTGGCGTTGCTTGTGGCGTTGGTGCTGGTTGCGGCGGCGACGGCGTGGATGCCCGCGGTGCATGCGGTGGTGTTGCGACTGCGGGGCGGTATGGTGGACAGAGCCGTCACGGTTGGCCACGCCGTGGAAACGGTGCTGATGGACGACGTGTACATCACGAACGGCGTGGCTGTAGTGTTTGACGTTGCGGCGATGCTTCCCGGCACACTGCGCATCGAACTGAGGAACTGCTTGTGCGACGGCGGTGCGCAGCTCTACGTGCGGGGCTACAGCGGCGAGCCGGCGAGTGACCGGAGCCTGGAGGTGAGCGTGAGCGGGCTGTCCGGCGGCTACTGCTCGCTTGTGTTTGCGCACAACCTGCCGGCACACACGAACGTGACGGTCCGTGACTCGACGATTGTGACGCCGGGGCCGATGCGCTACTCGCAGCTGAGCGGGCTGACGGACGCGGTGGCGTCGCCGCTTGTGCTGTACGCGACGTCGCTGTTGCAGTCGCAGCTGCGTGTGAGCAGCACTGTGCTGAGGTCGTTGCACGCGGGCGGGTCGGCGGTGTACGTTGGCGGCGGCATGGACCTGCTGTCGAGCGCGGTGGTGTTTGACGGCGTGTTGCTGGAGGCGTCGGGCGGTCCGACCGCGTCCGCGGTGCATGTGTCTTCCTCTTTGCGCCTCAGTCTGCGTAACCACTCGGTGCTCTCCGTGACGAACGTGTCGGTCGTGAGCGGCGGCGGCATTGTGCTTGGCGAGCGCCTCGCGGTGTTTGATTCGGTGCTGCGCTTCGTGCGCGTCGAGGGGTCTGTCGCGTCGTCGCTGGTGCGCTGCGACGGTGGGACGATCGGTACCGGCGGGTGGCTGGACATGCACGACGTGTGGGCGGTGGGCGAGGCGTCGTCGGTGGCGTCGCTGTCGGGTGTGACGCTGAGCGGCGGCACCGTGTCGATTGCGCGCTGCGCTGCCACTGGCGCGACGCTTGTCTCTGGGCTGACGATCACGAGCGGCGTCGTGTCGGTGCAGTGCAACCGTGCCGGCGGCCGGGTGCTGCAGAGCGGCGGCGAATACCGCTTGGCCGGCCTGCCCTCCGTGAGCGTGGTGCCGTGCGACGGCTGTGCGGCCGCGCTGGCGTGCTTCGATGCGCTGACGGCGTCGTTCTCCGAGTGCGTGTGCAGCTGCCGTGCCGGCGGCGTGGGCGACGCGTGCCTGCCGTTTGACGTGCCGCCTGCGAGGTCCGGTGGCGGTGGTGGCGGTGCACAGGGCTGCGTGAGTGGCGTGACGCTGACGGAGTCGGTGACGGTTGGCGGCTGGCGTGCGACGGCGTGCTTCGACTCGGTGGTGTTCAGCGGGCCGATCACTGTGACGGTGGACCTGCGCTTGTTGGACGTGTTCGCTGACGCGCTGAACGTGACGCTGCGCCACTGCGTGCTTGCGGGCGGCGCGCAGCTGCGGATTGGCGGCCTCAGCGAGAGCACGGCGCGCCTGATGCCACACGCCCTCGTCAACATGACGAATTTGACGTCGCTGGAGGGCACGATCGTGCTGCATGGCGCGATGCCGCTGCACTCGAGTGTGCTACTGGCGAACTCGACGCTGCGCGCGACGGTTGGCGGGTCGCAGTACGTGCCGACGACCCGTGGCCATGCGGGATTTCGGTACGGCCCCGCGCTTGTCCTGGACGGCGTCCGGCTTCTGTCGACGCGGTTTGTCATGACGCGGTCGATGCTGGTGTGTGGCGGGGGTTCGTGCGCTGCGATCCTTGTGGAGCGCGGCCTCGGCGCAAACCTGTCCAGCGTCTTCTACATGGACAACTGCGTCGTTATGTCGCGGATGCAAGTAATGTACGCTCTTGCGTCGGATTTGCGTGTTGGTGGCGGCTCCGTGTTCTCCATACAGAACAGCTCGTGGAGTGTGTCGAGCATCGAATACTACAAAGGGGCGTGTGATTTTGGGGACGTTGCGGTGGATGGCGGCAGCGTGCTGCAGATTGTGTCCAGCGAGTTCCGTCTCGGCTTTGCCATGCTCATGGCAAAAACGCTGACTGTGGCTGGCGGCAGCTGGTTGGTGCACCGCGACAACGAGTTCCGCACCGCCTACGTTGTGTACGTGGCCAACTACTACGGCGTGGCGTTCCGCGATCGGAGTGTGTGGTCGATACTTCACAACAACTTCACGTACGGCTTGTACTCGTCGAACATCGCTAATATGACGAGCAAGTGGCCACCACCATCCGACTCGCGCGCGACCATCTACGGCGTGTGCAACGAAGCAATAGGCTCACCTGTGACGGATTACCAAGACGACCTCAATATTGGAGCACCCGTGACGGTGTTGGACTGTGGTGCGTGTACCTTGGACGCCGTGTGCTTCGCTGCGAGGACGAGCAGCATCAGCGGCTGTGAGTGTGTGTGCGCTGCTGGTGGCTACGGTGACACGTGTCTGCCAGCTGCTGTTCCGGACGGTCTTGGGCCGCTTCCGCTCCCCGATGCGAAGGACACGGAGGTCCGCTGCGTGCACGGTGGCAGCATCGGCTCCGTGGACTATCCTGATCCCGGTGTGCGTGGTCTGTGCTTTGTCAACGTGACCTTCACCGCCGCGATCGTGCTGGACCTGTGGAATTTTGACGCACCACAGCAGACACTCAACATCACGCTGCTGCAGTGCGTCCTCATGGGCCTGTTGATCAGGGGGAGTGGTGCGCGTGTGCACGTGAACATGACATCCTCGATGCTGGATTCTGGTGCATTGGAGTTTAAGGGTGATTTTGGCACGAGCTCCCAGGTACTGGTGGCGGGCAGTACGCTTATGTCGAAGTGGAGCCACGCCATTGCCTTTCTGGAATTTTCTTTTGCTGTGAACTCGACGCTGCTGCTACTTGACAACCGCATCGAGGGGTATCGGTACGCAGTTTATTTCACCAATGCTGCTGTTGTTGATGGTGGCGGGATCATTGTGAGGGGAAATACGCTGAGAGCAATAGAGAAGGATGCTTACAGCTCGCGGTCTGCCCTTTACTTTCACTCAGTGGATGTGAGGAACGGCGGCTACTTTGACGTTGAGAACACCACGATGAGCGCAGTTAGTGGCATTTATTTTTACGGGGATACTTCCGTGAGCACCGCAGGGCTGCTGCGAGTGGCGAACTGTACATTTGTTGGCATCACACTGTTTTTTGAACCCGCGCTGGTGCATTTGTCTGGCTCTGTGACACTCGAGGGTGGTGCGCAGTGGCGTGTGACTGGCAACAACGTAAGTGCAGCTTCAATAATAGGTATGCCTAATTCCTTGTACAAAGTGAAGCTGTTGGGCAACGGCACCACCGTGGTGCTATCAAACAACCGTCAGGTGGACTCGAGTAAAGCCTTTGCGAAAATTCTTCCACGGAGCACGATTGTGACGTCACCCGCGCACTTTGTGGTTGGATGCAACCTGCAGGGCGGTGAGGAGGTGTCGTACGACGGTGTGTTTCCGGAGGGTGTGGTGGTGTTCGGGTGCGGCACGTGCAACGACGACGCTGCGTGCTACATGCCCGGGACGGAGTCGGTGGACCGCGGCTCGTGCTCGTGCAGCTGCAAGGACGGATGGCATGGCGCGTCGTGTCTTCCCCTCGAGGTGCCCGATGCGGTTGTGCTGCCCGTGCCGGAGAGAGCCGTCGACGGCGACACGAGCTGCGTGGTGGACCAGACGCTGACGAACCTCACGCTGAACATGTGGAAGACGCACCACTGCTACGTGGGTGTGACATTCAGCGGCGTGGGTGCTGTGCTGACGTTCTCTCTCAGCAGCATGCCGCTGCATCTCCCCATCAACATCACGCTCACTGGGTGCACATTCCGTGAGGGTGCTTCGCTGCGGTTTGTTGGGGGTGCTGAGGTGGTCGAGTCAGCCGGTGTCCTGATCCGCGTGAGCCGGACGGTGATGCGTTCCTCCGTTGTTGCTTTTGCACTTGCCCTCCCGCAGCACTGCGACATTGCCGTCACGGAGGTTGACGCGGTGCAGGCCTCTGAGGTCCAGTTGCCGGACGCTAGGATTACCACATTGAGCGTCGTGATGTTGCGGAAAATTATTTTGGCTGCGTCTTCGCTGTTGGTCAGCAACGTCAAGGCGCGTGCAACGAGGCAGCGCGGGTTTGGTTTGTACTCGACCGGGACGCTGTCGCTCGTGGGTGGCAGCTCGCTGTACACGCGGTACTGCAGCTTCGATAAATACTCGCACATGTTTTACATACACAGGCTGAGTGTCAGTGACCGCTCTGTTTTTGCGCTGCTTAACAATACGATGTCCTCCGGGACAAGCCTCTTGTGTCAGTTCTACGGATTCAGCGTGTCGGATCACAGCGTGCTGCGCTTGGTGGGGAACAGCGGCTGTGTGTGCTACGTCATCTGTAATGAAGAATTGTGGAATGTCCGGGAGTCAAGCTGGCTGGATTGGCGCGACAACGACGTGGGAGTGGGTGCGATGTTTCAAGACACTGAGTCCGCTTTTGTGATTATCGACGGCAGCAGTGTTGTGACGCTGACGGGCTGCAAGATGGGCTCGACGGGGTTGTCGGTCTCGCTGCTATCGCAGGCTGACACCGGCTACCGTTTCGTTGCTGGGTGCCTGACGATTGCGGGACGGGTGGTGACGACGGCAGCTGAACTGGAGCTGAACGGCATCACCAACGTGACGACGGTTGCCGCGTGCGGTGAGTGCACGAAGGACGGCGACTGCTTTGCCCCGCTGACGACGGCGGTCATTGGCTGCAAGTGCCGGTGCGCTGCTGGAGGGCACGGCGATGTGTGTGTCTCGGCGCCTGTGCCTGCTGGTCCGCCACCGCCGCCACCGCCGCCACCGCCACCACCCACGCCACCGCCACCGCTGGTTGGTGGGTGCATCAGCGACATGGTGTACCCCGAGGTTGCGCAGGCAGTGGGCGGCGGGCTGTCGTGGCTGTGCTACCGCAACGTGACGTTCAGCGGGGGCGGCATGAGCCTGACGGTGCTGATAGGGGCGATGACGGGCGACGTGGCGAGCGTCACGTTCGATGGATGCACGTGGAGGGACGGCGCCGTGCTGTTGCTGTTGGGCAACGCGTACGCCGCTGTGGGGTCGCTGAACATCGTCGTCACCGGCAACACATTTAGTGACGCGCTGCTCAGTCCGGAGGGTGTGTTTCCACCCCGCACGAACATCACGATCA